TTGTAAAAGTACACTTATAAACACAGACTGATTACTAGAGGCTAAAATTCATATAAGAAAACATAAGAAACAACCGAAGCCATGTTTTCAAAGGGATATACTGCCTAAGTATCATGACAACCAAACCAGAGCTAACAAATGCATTCAATAAGGATGTACTGAAGAAATTCAAGATAGTAGCATGAAGCATTACGAGTAATGTCACCTCTAATATTGGTGTAGTAATGTGAGCTGGCTTGGGCTCTGTTATTGTCCAGTCTAACCATGGATATTGATGCCCCGTAAGAATATGACACAGGAGTTGTGTGGTTTCAGTAATAATTCTGAGAAATTCAAATAATATTCAATAATTTGATCGTTTAGTTTTTATGGAAGTAGTGATTGACAACATATAGATTTAAATCGTTGTCAGTTGGAGTTTCAAACTAAATATATTTGTTAAATCATTTCTAGATGATCTCTGCATTTACATCCAGTAATTAAATGGTGAATTTCCAGTGGAACACCATAGTGCGAGGTAATTTGGAATCAGATTAGCCCCTATTTGCAGAATATACGTCAGGGAGTAGATTGTGATTGTAAATCGACACATTCGTCATATCTGTGTAATGCATATAGTCCTGTTGTCATGTGAGAATACTGATATTATCATAAAAACTTGTGCAACTAGTTCGCACTTCATTTTTATTTAATTAAATACATCAGCGTGATCAATAACATTTTACTAGACATGCTGTATCAATTCGAATTAGCATCATTTCTAACAAAAAACAAACTCCGTGGCTTCAGACCGCAAGAGAACTATCGCGCTCGAGAGACTGCCGATTGTCGGCGTAGTTACTGCCAAATTTTGCGGTTAGAGGCTGTCGCGTGGTCAGCTCAACGAATTCCCACGGCCGCTAATTTCCGTTTTCTACATCAGAGCCGCTACTTTTCAATTCAAGTAGCTCCTCGGTTATCCTCACAAGGCTAAGTGGACCCCGTTCCAGACCCACTACTTCTAAGAAAATCTGGTAGCGCAGGGAATCGAACACGGACCTCTGGCTCTGTAGCCAGGAACTCTGACCACTAGACCACAGAGGCGGTCTAGCAGCATTTCAGTTGTGCGAACTATATATTAGAGAATATCAACTGACAAGGAAAAATAAACTCTTGTCTGAGAAATGAATATGACAATATTTGTGACATAACTGGAATATTTAGTAAGATGAAATTCGTCTGCGTTAATACAAGTATAAAACGATATATCAATGTTAAATTTGATTTTAAGTCTGATGTAGTCCAACTTTTTCAGGCTTAATAACTCCTTTAGCACCGAAAATCTCTAACTTCAGAAACCAGAAGCTTCTTGGATTTCTTGAATGAGAGGAATTTCATCTCCATCAACAAGGCTAAGCTGTGTAAATTTACGAGACATTGTTTGCTTTGTTGTGACTTGTACATACGGTATTGTACCATCTTTCTGTATAACCCTCAGCTGCTTACATCAGTCACAAAATACATTAAGTACAAACTTCCGAGTATTCGCCGCAGCACTGAAGCAATTTTCCTGAGCTCCACCTGTCAAGTGAGAGAACGTCTGGAACAGTAAACTCACTCCCCACTTCGAATATATTTTGCATTTGAAAAGACTGTCAGTGGTAAGTGACAAACAAGCAAAGTAACACCATAAAGCAGTTTCGCCTTTGAGAAGCTAACAGTCGCCGAACAAGTGATTTAGAACTGGTACAGATAGAATTATTGAGACTTAATTACTCATTATATAAATGAATTAATAGCTAAAATGAATTCTGCTCCCCAGTCAGAGGATGGATAGAAATATTTTGCGGTGTTGACCGCTGTGGCACTAGGAGATGACCTTATTTTTGTAGGTAAACATTGTGATGCAGAATAAATATGTTTGAACTGCAGATACCGTTGTTCTCCAGATGACGCAATTTCCTTGTAGGACTTACCTCCCCTTCAGGTTGAAGGGCCTGATAACGTTGCTACTGTAAGCGACTGAGCATCCTTAATTGAGTTTGATGGGCATACGCCACGTCATTTGACCTGTATTCTGTAATCTGTAACGTCTTTTATCTCTTATTTCTTTTCCTCCATATTTCCTTTCTTCTTCTGTTTATTTCTTTTTATTTGTTTTTCTTTCTTCCCATGTATTTTCCCCCATTTAACTCTCGGAAGACTGGGAGTCGTTGTACTGCAAATAACTGTGATCGACATATATGTACTTTATATAGATGTATAAATTGTATATGTACGTATATAATGTAATATATACATGTATACACAGTGTGGCATGTAGTTCCATTGCTAGGCAACGACCGTGAAATACGTAACTATATCTAATCCATCAAGTGTGCGTTTAGTACATGGGATATTAAGAACAGGTTCTGCGTAACTAATCAGCACTGACTCAGAAGTCAGTTAACCTGAAATGTTCTCTCATAATAATGGGAATGTTCACTGCCACTGATTTTTTAAAAAGGTACGAGTATCACAACTTTTTGAGTTCCACGTTGAAAATGGAGGATCTTATTTCGAACAGTTTTTGTAAATGCAGCAACCATTGAAGAAAATTCTAAATTAATTATGTTTAGAATTTCATAATCAAGTAGTTGAATTTTGGGCCACATGTGTTTTGATTTAGTGTTCAGCAGTTTTAGAATAGCTGCACTGAAATTGGCATTCGTTTTCTGTTTACATATACTTTTGAATATTATAGGAATTTATCGACTTCAGATGTGAATCTGATCTTATTTAATCATTCTATGTTAGATTTTTAAAACATAGGCACCAATTGTGAAGAAGAAACACCTTCATACCCACAGAGTTTTGGTTCCTGGCATGATTCTGAAGATGAGTTCTTCCATCTCCCAATGATAAATATTACACATTGAATAATTTCATTAATGCAGTTGTGAAGCATAGGCCGTGAGTAAGAAGAAGCGGAAGCCTTCCTACCACGCGTCGGCGCAGGATTTGTAAAATATTTTAGTGTACATAACTTTGGGCTTCCTTTGGCGAATTGAGTGTGTTCTTAAAATAATATTGATGTACCGTTTATCTCGTCTGTTTATGGATTACTTACAAAATGAAGATGGACATGATGTATCCTGTGGCTTATGCTACAAGCCGAGTAATTTTGTATCTAGGTTAAACCGAAGGGTAAAATAAAGTTTGTCTTTTTTTCCATTTTCCGACTTAATACGAGTTTCAGTGAATGTAATTGAATATGAGTTTCAGTGAATATGTTTTTTTGAGAACCCACATCTCTAATAAACTGAACATTACATCCAACCTACAAACACTGAATATCTTTCAATTAAGACATAAATATTACATCGTATCTCACAGAAAACACATTAAGTTTCCGCTACAAAAATCAGCACGTTAATGCTGATTAAAGAAAAATTTTATATTCATTTTAAGAACCAAATAAACCACCCAAATACACTCAGTGGGCAGAATACACAATTCTAATATGCTAATGCACATAGTATGTATAGTTATCAGTGGGCTTTAAAAGGTTAATTTTTATGGAACAGAAGGAAAATGCACATCGTTGTCGCCTTTATCCTTTCTATTTCAACAAAAAATGAACTCCGCGATTTTAGTCCGTAAGCGAACTATACCGACCGAGCGACCGCCGATAAGTTATTGCTAACTTTAGCGGATAGAGGGTGTCGCGTGGTCAGGGCAACGAATCTCCACGGCCTTTAATCTCGGTTTTCTAGACCGAAGTCATTATTTCCTTGAAATAGCTCCTCAATTATCCTCATGAGGTTGAGTGAACCCCATTCCAGACCCACCATTTCTCAGAAAATCTGATAGTGCCGGGAATCTAACCCGGTACCTCTGGATTTCTAGCCAGGAACTCTGATCACTAGACCACAGATACGGTCTCTCTTTTCTATTTCACCCCTGTAAAATGATAATTTATTTCACGTGGTAGCGTAGTGGTTGAGGCACTATGCTACAAGCCGGAAGGTAGCGGGTTCAAGTCCTGATGAGGTCATTGGATTTTTTTTTTCAATTGACCTAACCCTTCCAGCCACACTATGGCCCTGGGGTCGACTCAGCCTCTAACAGATGAGTACCAGGAATATTCTTGGAATATACTTGGGAGTAAAGGACGGCCGGCGCGTAGGGCTGAACGCAAGTCACACAATTGTACTATGATTTTCCGACTGACATGCAGCGATCCATGGACAGCCGGTTTCTAAATATAAAATTTGACCCTAAATACTATGAGCTCTTGCTGTGGGCACGAACTTAGGCTTAAAGTTCTGACGACGCTGTCGCGAAGTCATGCCTCTTCTGATTTGCATTCTGGAGGTGCAGGTTGGAATTTCGACCGGTACACCGACTATCCTGAGTCAAGCTCTTCGTAGTTTCCCCAGTCACTCCAAACAAATCTCTGGATAGTATTTGAAATCTGGTCACGACCGCATTCTCCTAACATTTTTTTTTTGTTCAATTTATTACTGACGAATCCTTCTACCAGTCGACGTTGTATAAATGATACGCCTATGTAAACAGGAATCCATAAACCGTAACTAGTAAGAAGATTAATATCTTCTGAGATACAACGCCGTGGAGTCTGGCGAAAGTCAGCCGAAGTTTCCCGGGAACATGGCGCCTCTATATATTCAGAGTCGATTAGAAGACAGGCAAGAACCGGGGAGAACCAGAGCTCTGCTTTTGTGCTGATGTAACACGTACTGTGTAACTTTGTTGTCTAGAAGCAACTGCCTGTGGCATTCGGAAACTTACCGGTAACGAAATAATGATCAATGCCTCTGGGCTTCCGTTATAGAGAGGTTCTGCTGTGTCAAGTTCCTTTCTTCTGTGATGTGACGCTGTATAGACAGGTACAAGTGCTTCAAACCTGAAGATTGAGGAAATATATTTCTTTGAAACGTTGTTACCTATCTATCAACCTATAGGTCACATACCCGAAGACGTTCAGTGGAGTACTATTTCCCCATATTTCATTACAGGGAGACACAAGTGTCGGGAAGACTGGCCATCGAAGTCCAGCGAGCGAGCCTATAACATATTCCTGGACGCCATGTTGCTTTTGGTACCACTGATCATCATGACACTGGCCTACTCTTTGATCGTTTCCAAGCTGTGGAAAGGTCTGCAAAGAGAAATCCGACACAATTCATCGTGCCGCAGGCAACGTGAGTACAGATCCTATTAATTATTCGGTATGAACTCTTTCAATGCTACGCACGACATAACTTGATTGGAAGCACTCGGCCTTCCGCCCTGGATTTTAAATTCTAGGTGGAAAGTGGAATGAGGGTACTTCCTGGCCTCTCTACTCTTCATGCCTATCCGGAAATAGAAATTATACGGAACCTTCGAAATATGTCAATAGAAAACTGTTTATTTGTACAAGAAGACGGTGTAGAAAGGATGACTTCTCTCGAAATGTTTCCATTTTAAATCAGAACTGTTCGCTTTCCTTGTACAAGAGGCATAGAGTTTAATGGTGTTAGAAGTGAGAGTTTTTCGATTCAAATGGAAACTCTTGAAGTTGGAGAATTCGAATTCTACGTAAGGATTTCCGCCCTTACCCAGGAGACCACAATTGTAAGGAGCTGATTGTACTGACTCTCTCAACTTATGTAAGGGAGAATTTTAAGTGAGCTACTGGGATGTCTGACAGTTCTGAAATACTTTAAAGAAAAAACTGTACACATGAGAAATGAGACATGAATAGACGGAGAGAGAAAAGGAAACAGAAAATATCAGCTTTAGGAGAGTTGGATAAGAGCATAATTTAAATTTCCTCATATTTAATTCATATATGTTTAAAGATGTGATGTCACTGCTATCAGCTTCATACAAAATTTTGTCGAATATTATTCTCTCAAGGTTAAGTCCATATATAGCCGAAATTATTTGGATCAACTTTGTGGGTTTCAACGTAACAGATCAACTTCTGATCAGATCTTTTGCATTCGCCAGATATTGGAGAAAAAATGGGAGTACAATGAGACAGCAAATCAGCTATTCATAGACTTCAAGAAAGTCTATGATTCAGTTAGGATGGAACTATAGTACAATATTCTGATAGAGTTTGGAGTATCCATGGAACTAGTTAGGTATATTAAAAAGTGTTTAAAAGAAACTTATAATAAAGTCCTTATAGGTAAATATTTGTCTGACAATTTCCTATCCATAATGGTCTAAAATAAGTAGATGCTTTGTAACCACTGTTTCTCAACTTTGCTTTAGAATATGCCATTAGGAAGGTTCAGGAAAACCATGTGAGACTGAAATTAAACGGGACAGATCAGCTGTTGGTCTATGCCGATTATGTGAATCTTACTTACTTACTCATGGAGCTGAGCCCTTCTGGAGCAGCTGCCAATTCTGCAGCTACTCAAGAAAATCCCAGCAATCTATGGAACCCAAAGGTTCATTGACCTGTTCACAGGAGCCCTCCACTGGTCCCTATCCTGATCCAGATTAAACCAATCCATACCATCCCATCCTATCTCTCTAAGATCCATTTTAATATTGTCCACCCACCTACGCCTTGGTCTCTTTCCTTCTGGCTTTCCCACCAATACCCTATACGCATTCTTCGTCTCCCCCATTCGTGCTACATGACCTGCCTACCTCATCCTCCTTGACTTGATGATTCTAATTATACGAGGGTCGTACTGAAAGTCATGAGCAACAATTTTTTGTAAAGTAACATGCTTTATTATTGACAAACCAAATACACCACCTCAATCTACAGAGATTTCTTTATTTTTCCACATAATTGCCACTTCTTTGTACACAT